CTTTTTTTTTTTTTTTTTTTTTTTTTTTTTTGAGACGGAGTTTCACTCTTGTTACCCAGGCTGGAGTGCAATGGCTCGATCTCGGCTCACCGCAACCTCCGCCTCCTGGGTTCAGGCAATTCTCCTGCCTCAGCCTCCTGAGTAGCTGGGATTACAGGCACGCACCACCATGCCCAGCTAATTTTTTGTAGTTTTAGTAGAGACGGGGTTTCACCATGTTGACCAGGACGGTCTCGATCTCTTGACCTCGGGATCCGCCCGCCTCGGCCTCCCAAAGTGCTGGGATTACAGGCTTGAGCCACCGCGCCCGGCCTCTTGAACTCTTTATTGACCTCTGCACCTGCTTCCTCTTCTGTGAAAACAGATGAGTTTATGTAGATTAAGATCTAGCAGACATCTGTAGACATATCAGGTGGTAAATATTTTAGGCTTTGCAGGCTAGTGACTGAACTCTGCATGAAAATAACCTCAATATATAAAGGAATGAATGTGAATGGGTGCCGTGCTGAAATCATCTCCTTCCCAGGGTCCATGAAAGTCTTCTTCTTTGAGCTTTCCCCCCAATCATTTAAAATGTAAAAACATTCCTAGCTTGCAGGTGCTATGAGAATAGGGAGCAGGCCAGAGGTGACTTAGGAGGCTTGTTGGCAGATTCCTGCCTAGTTTTTTTTTTTTTTTTTTTTTTCTTTTTTTTTTTTTTTAACAATCTCCCTCTGTTGCCAAGGCTGGAGTGCAGTGGCACAATCTCAGCTCACTGTAACCACTGCCTCCCAGGTTCAAGCAAGTCTCCTGCCTCAGCCTCCTGAGTAGCTGGGGCTACTGGTGCACCACCACGCCTGGCTAATTTTGGCATTTTTAGTAGAGATGGGGTTTTACCAAGTTGGCCAGGCTGGTCTCAAAGTCCTGGCCTCAAGTGATCCATCCGCCTTGGCCTCCCAAAGTGCTGGGATTACAGGTGTGAGCCACTGCGCCCGGCTGTGTCTAATCATCTAGTAATCCTCTGGGCTGGAGTTGGGGTGTGTCAGAGGCAAATTTTTGCCTGTCTTCTCAGAACACCATATTCAGAGAAGGCCACTCGGGACAGATTTGTCAGGCTGTTTCAAATGCCCAGGTCTGGGACGGGATGCCCTATCTGTGGAGAATTTTTTTTTTTTTTTTTTTTGAGACAGGGTCTCACTCTGTTGCTCAGGCTGGAGTGCAGTGGTGTGATCTTGGTGCACTGCAGCCTCTGCCTCCTGGGCTCAAGTGACTCTCCTACTTCAGCCCCCCAAGTAGCTGTGTTACAGGAAAGGGGTCCTGATCCAGACCCCAAGAGGGGGTTCTTGGATCTCACACAAGAAAGAATTCAGGGTGAGGCCATAAAGAGAAAGCAAGTTTATTAACAAGGTAAAGGAACAAAAGAATGACGGCTCCATAGGCAGAGCAGCCCCGAGGGCTGCTGGTTGCCCACTTTTATGGTTATTTCTTGATTACATACTAAACAAAGGGTGGATTGTTCATTCCTCCCCTTTTTAGTCCACATAGGGCAACTTCCTGAAGTTGCCACGGCATCTGCAACCTGTCATGGTGCTGGCGGGAGTGTAGCAGTGAGGACGACCAGAGGTCACTCTCGTCGCCATCTTGGTTTTGGTGGGATTTGGCCGGCTTCTTTACTGCAGCCTGTTTTATCAGTAAGGTCTTTATGACCTGGATCTTGTGCCGACCTCCTGTCTCATCCTATGACTTAAAATGCCTTCACCGTCTGGGAATGCAGCCCAGTAGATCTCAGCCTCATTTTACGTAGCTCCTATTCCTGATGGAGTTCTTCTGGTTCAAATGCCTCTGACAGCTGAGACTACAGGAACACAGCACTACGTCCAGGTATGTTTTGTACTTTTTGTAGAGACAGGGTTTCACCATGTTGACCAGGCTGATCTTGAACTCCTGGGATCAAGCAATTCATCCGCCTTGGCCTCCCAAAGTGCTAGGATTACAGGCATGAGCCACCACACCCAGCCCACTTGGAGGCTTTTTTTTTTTTTTTTAAATGAGAGAGAAAGAGAGAGAGAAATAGAGAGAGAGAGAGAGAGGGAGGGAGGGAGGGAGGGAGACTTTGCATTCTGTTATCCTCAAATTATTACTTTACCTTCTTCCCTAGCCGGGGTCCCAGTCCTAAAGCCCGAGACCCTCAATGGAACTTCACCTCTGCATAATCCGCCTGGGTGCCCTTGGGCATCCCGGCCTCAGGCCTGGGTCTGAGGCCTGGGAAGTTGAGCATGGCATAATGGAGCTCTTCTTGGCTCTTGTGGGATTCTGGTGCTTGAGTGGATGATTTGGATTCTGGGCAGCTGAACAACTGATATGGCTTTTTCTGGTTCTTCTTTGATTCTGGGCAGGGAGCACCTGGTGGAGGAGGTGTCTGAGAAGCGCTGCTTGATGTGGCCTTCTCATTCCGATTCGGAGCCTGAGGGATGAACCACCATCCTTCATTCATTCATTCAGCAAATATTTGAACACATGTTGGGCACTGATTTCATTTATTTATTTTTTTGAGACGTGGTCTCACTCTGTTGCCCAGGCTGGAGTACAGTGGCGTGATCTCGGCTCCCTGCAACCTCTGCCTTCCAAGTGAGTACAGTGGCGTGATCTCGGCTCCCTGCAACCTCTGCCTTCCGAGTTCAAGCAATTCTGCCTCAGCCTCCTGAGCAGCTGGGACTTCAGGCATGTGCCACCACACCTGGCTAATTTTTTGTATTTTTAGTAGAAATGGGGTTTCATCATGTTAGCCAGGATGATCTCAATCTCCTGACCTCATGATCCCCCCGCCTTGGCCTCCCAAAGTGCTGGGATTACAGGTGTGAGCCACTGTGCCCGGCCATTTGGGCACTGATTTATAGCACGGAGTGAAACAAAGTCCCTGCCCCTGCTTTGCTCAGCTTGCATTCCATCTTGGAAGCAGTAACAGAGAATACTTAGCAAAAGTACCCTAACTGGTAAGTGACAAACGACATCAAGAAATTTGAGCACTGTCAGAAGTCAGCAAAAGGGAGGGTGGGATGACTGTTTAACAGGGCATCCAGGGAAGTTCGAGACCAGCCTGGCCAACAAAGCGAAACCCCATCTCTATCAAAACTACAAAAATTAGCCAGGCATGGTGATACATGCCTGTAGTCCCAGATACTCAGGAGGCCGAGGCAGGAGAATCGCTTGAACCTGAGCGATGGAGGTTATAGTGAGCTGAGATTGTGCCACTGCACTCCAGCCTGGGCAACAGAGTGAGACTCCATCTCAAAAAAAAAAAAGAAAGAAAGAAAAGAAAAGAAAATGCTGATTAGACACCCACATGGGGATGCTGCATAGACAGTCTGCAGTTCAGGGAAGGAGCCAGGAGATACAGTTTTAGAGTCATCAGCGTAAGATGTTATCTCCTAATAATTTCCAGCATTTACAGAGTATTACCCAGGGGCCTGGTGATATTCTGAATATTTTATTATACAAGTACAATATATCTAACATCTAGCATCATCCTAGGAGGTGGCCACTAGTATTATCCCCATGTTACAGCTAAAGAAATTGAGGCACAGAGAAGTTAAGATACTTGCTTCATCACACAGTGGTGGAAGCAGGATTTGAACCCGGGAAGGCTGACTTCAGACCCCTCTACTGAGTCCCTAGGCTGTACAGTCTCCCGATGATACGAATAATTGTTAAGCAGTTAAGTGCAATTAGTAATTGGTGACGGTAACAATGGAATAATGGCTACGTATTGAGAAAGTGCATGTGTTCTAATCCTCAAACCAACTCTTTTTTTCTTTTTCAAGATGGAGTCTTGCTCTGTTGCCCAGGCTGGAGTGCAGTGGCGTGATCTCGGCTCATTGTAACCTCTGCCTACTGGGTTCAAGCAATTCTCCTGCCTCAGCCTCCCGAGTAGCTGGGACCACAGGCGTCCGCCACCACGCCCAGCTAACTTTTGTATTTTTAGTAAAGACGGGGTTTCACCATATTGGCCAGGCTGGTCTCAAACTCCTGACCTTGTGATCTGCCCATCTCAGCCTCCCAAAGTGCTGGGATTGCAGGCGTGAGCCACCGTGCCCAGCTTAATCCTTAATCCAACTCTCAAAGGAGACAGGAAGAAATGAAGGCTCAGAGCAGGTGAGGGACGTGGCTGAGAAGCTAGTGCCAGCCAGGATATGAATTCAGTGCTATCGCTGGTGCTTTTCCCACCTTGATGTCCCTAAGACAAAGGGTACGAAAGTCAGAAAGCGGATGTGAGCTTTAGAGAAGAGGAGAGGCAGCATGGCCCAGACACTCACCTGGGGGCCGGCCTTCGGGACCACGTTGATGTAATCCAGGATGGTGCTGTGCCGGGAGAACCTGGGCCTCGGGGTCTCTGCCTGAGTTTGTTTCTTCAGTGGAATCTTCATGCTGAGGAAACAAAGCCACCTGTTTGTGCACTGCTGCACCTCTCCTCTTCCTGCGTCCAGACCCCAGACCCCGCCACTCCTCCTTTTAACCTACATGATCTGGGAGAGGCAGAGGAAAAGAAGAGCCATGATCATGATTCCCAGAACCACTCCGATGAAGAGTTCCTTTGAGACCAGTCCCTTCTCATCTGCACACGGAGAGAGTCAGGTGGGCATCTCCCATCCACGTTCGGCTCACGAAGCCCACTCCTCACTCGGCCTTCAGGCTTCCATTGCCCAATGCAGACATTGAATCTGCAACTCCTCTGTTTACTCTGAGGTGGAGTCTTGCTCTGTTGCCCAGGCTGGAGTGACCCAGCCCAGGCGTCAGGACTTTCCACTGTGTTTTACTGTCTACATACAGAGGCCATGGCTCTCCTGTGTCCCTCCCAGCTCCTGCTCCAACCACAGGCCCCTGCTCTCTGCCCTACTCAGCTTCTCCAAGAATCTCAGCACCCAGGCGGCCCCCTAACCTGGCAGCTGCAGGATGGAGCTGCTCTGGGCCCCGTGGACATTCCAGGCCTCACAGCTGAGCCTGAGGTGGGAGCTGAGTACCCCTCGGAGGCTCAGGGAGCTGTTGGCCCAGGGCCCGGCTGAGCTGGGGGTGACCTTGAAGGAGTCCCGGCTGCTGTTCCCCTCCAGCAGCTCCTCTCCAAGCTACCAGCGCAGAGAGGGGGCCGGGCTAGCCTGGGAGGAGCAGCTGCAGTGCAGACTCTCAGCCTCCCAGGAGCAGGGGGGGCCCAGCAGCTGTGGGGGGTCTCTGGGGAGGGAGGACAGGACTCAGCAGGGACCCCTTCCTGGGACCCAGGTGCCACCTTTCCCCACTCACAGTGCACGGAGAGGCTGAGAGAGACATGCTGGGAGCCCAGTGGGTGCTGAGCGTGGCAGGTGAACTCTCCTTCGTGCTCCATTTGAACCTGAGGCAGCTCCAGGACCGCGGGGTCTGAGGGTGGGGAGGGGCTCAGGGTCTGTCCCCCCCGGGTCCAGCTCAGCCTGGCTGGGGGACTGCTGTGGGTGACACAGGCCAGGCGCAGGCTTTGGCCCTCCAGGACTGGGACGGACGTGCCGTTCCCAAGGTTTTCCAGGACTAGAGAAGGAAGAGGCAGAATCAATGTGCAGCTTGGGGCACAGGGACCCTCCTGCGTGGGGACCCTCCAGATGCCTGGGCCCCCAGTTTAGCACCGAGAGGCCCTGGCTCCTCTGTCCCCTTTCCTACCTGTCCTGTTTGCTTGGGAAACCATCACTCTCAGGTTCTCTGGAGGATCTGAAATGGAGAAGGGACCGGCTCTAGATGGGCCAGGGGCTTCCCTCTGGGCAAAGGGAGCTGTCCTGGGAGACTGAGGTGGGGGAAGTGGGGGGATAGAAGGGCACAGCAGAATCACCCACTGAGTCTCAGACACAAACTGCATGAGTCTACACAGGTAAGAAGGTGGGTCCCCTAGGCCTGGGGTTCCAGGCCCCCTCAGCTCTGGAGCCCTGACTCTGCTTGTCTCAGTCCTTTCTTTGAACCAGTAGCCATAAGCTGGGGTAGACGCTGTCCAGTCCTTTTGGGAGTAGGAGAAAGAGCAGGACACAGAGACACACAGGCCCTCGGGCACCGTCAGTGACCTCTGCACTTGGATCCAGCCCCTGCGTCCCCACCCGTCCTCCCCTCCCAGATGGACTCCGGGCCCCTGCTGGGCACTCACACTGCACAGAGAGGTCCAGGGCTCGCTGCTGGGAGCCCAGCCTGTTCTCCGCTCGGCAGGTGTAGTGGCCTGAATCCCCGGCCTTCACCCGGGGAAGCTCCAGCCCCAGGGTTCTGGGGCCCCAGGGGTGGGACCAGGAGAGGACTCTGTCCTGCAGCACCCAGCTCAGTGTGGCAGGGGGCTGGCTGTCGGCAGCACAGAGCAGCCTCAGGAACTGGCCTTTCTGGGCTTCCAGATGTGTGAGATTTCCCTGGGACTGGGGCTCCAGGGCTGGAGAGAGGGAAAAAAAGAGAGGGAGGGAGAGAGAGAGAGAAGGGGTACAGGGAGGGGCACATCCCCTCATCCCCTGAAGCTTTTTCATCCCCTCTTTAAGGACTGGCCCAGTCCCAGCCCGATGGCCCTCAGTACCTGGCGTGTTGTCACGGGAAATACTGATGACAACGTCTCTGGGGGCATCTGCAACAAGATTCTGAGCTGGCTTCAGGGAGGGACAGTTTGTTCCCACAACCAAAAAACGGGGGAACTAAAGTGAGACTATCCCAGAAGACAAGTGACAGCCAGCACCGGGGCTCACGCGTGTGGACAGAGGACCAGAAGCCATTCCCATCCCCTCCCAGGGCTGTGCCAGCTTCCCGGGACCCCACGGCTTCCTCTCCCTGGACCCTCATGAGCTGGGAGCCGCTCACTACCCTGCTGGGCTCCACCTCCCCACCCCCCGGGTCTGTCTGCAGGCCCCATAGTCCCAGGCCACACTCACAGGCCACGCGGAGTCGGACGGTCCTCTCTGCGCTCACACCCGCTCTGGAGAAGTCCACATGGCAGGTGAGGTCGGTGTCATGGTCCTGGGGCCTGGGTGTGAAGCTGAGCACTGAGAAGTGGGCGCTGCTTGGTCTGGTTCTTCTGGAGGAGAGGGCAGCCCCCGTCCAGGAGAAAGAAGGGGCTGGACAGTTCTCGAAGGCCCAGTTAAACACACAGATGACCATCACTGGCCGCCCAGGCTCCAGGGTCTCGGGGATGTAGACATCAGGCTTCTGAGTCAGGGCTGGGACAGAGGCAAGGTGGGGGGGTGCTAGTGCTGCAGGGGTCCCTGAGAGTCCTCTCTGCTCAGCCCATGCCCAGGGTCCCTCCCCAGTGTGAGAGGCAGGAGTTCCCACCCCATTCCATACCTGTTACTTTTAGATAGAACTTGTTCAAGAAGTTGAATTTCACATAGCTTCCCCTCTCCACCCGAAACAAGTACCCTCCCGTGTCCTGCATCTGCGCATCTCTGATCACCAAGGAGCAGCTCCCCTTGCCGGGATCCCCCGTGAGCTGGAATCGGTCCCACGTGCTCATGTCCACCTCTCGATCTGGGTGGTTTGTTGCCACTGGAGCATCCTTGCTTGTCTCAGCCCTTTCTCGGAACCAGTAGCCATAAGCTGGGGTAGAGTCTGTCCAGTCCCTTCGCGGGTAGGAGAGGTTGCAAGGCACAGAGACACACAGGCCCTCTGGCACTGTCACCGACCTCTGCACTTGGATTGAGAAGCCCCCATCCATAGCCTGGGACCCTGTGGGGAGACAGAGGCTCAACCTGCAACCCCAGGCCTAGCTCCGCCCCAGGTCCTTTCTGGCCCCCAGCCCACTCACCGCCCAGCAGCGAGGACAGCAGCAGCGGCAGTAGCATCTCGGCATAAGAGGCACAGGACCTGCCTGAGACAAGCCTGTTTTCTGGTGGTGCTGTGAATGGCTCAGGGCTCTTGGCAGAAGGGGGGAGCCGAGGGCGGAAGCTGAGCCCTGCTGGGGCTTGATGCGTGAAATGAGTTTCAGATCCTGAGGTCACAGCACTCCTTCCCCTTCCTCGGCATTCCCCTGTCCACCTTGCCCGCTTGTCTTCCGGGTCTCCTGGGGGCCCAGCCTGACCTTGGGCTTGTTGAGCTGGTCCTTCCAGAGCTCCCAGTGCAGGAGGGGAGGGCAGGCTTGTGTCTGCCCTGGGGGCCTGGCTGTGGGTAGGGCAGTGGGGTGGGGGCTCTCCCTCTGGGCCCTGTGTCATTGAAAAAGCAGAAGTGAAAGCCCACAATGAGCCCCCCTTATCTGGGTAACTGGTGGTGGAGATAGTGGGTACAGGGGAAGGGACAGTTGCTGGAAGGGGCTGGTCTTGTCAGATTAAATGCAAGATGTCTGATTAAAGCTGAATTTCACAGAAAAGATACACTAAGTTTTTATTTTTATTTTTTAGTATAAATATGTCCTAACTGCTGCATGGGATATACTTATACCAAAAAGCAAAATAAATTTGTTTATCTGAAATTCAAATTAATTATTTTTTGAGACAGAGTCTCGCTCTGTAGCTCAGGCTGGTGTGAGAAGTGGCATGATCTCTGCTCACTGCAACCTCTGCCTCCTGGACTCAAATGATTCTCCTGCCTCAGCCTCTCGAGTACCTGGGGTTACAGGTGCCCGCCACCATGCCGAGCTAATTTTGTATTTTTAGTAGAGACAGGGTTTCACCATGTTGGCCAGGCTGATTTCGAACTCCTGATCTCAAGTGATCTGCCGTCTTGGCCTCCCAAAATGCTGGGATTCCAGGTGTGAGCCACCGCACCTGGCCTAAGATTCCAATTTAACTGAGCATGTTGAATTTCTTTTTTTCTAAATCTGGCCATCCTAGGGTGGTATCAGCCTCAGCCCTTCATTGCAGGGTCCAGCCCTGCAGGGTCTGGTGGGTGTTCTTTGTGTGTAGAGACAATAGATCACAGGAAAGAAAGATACAAGAATCAGAGATAAGAGAAGAATTCAGCTGGGCCCTGGGGACCACTACTACCTAGGCACAGAGTCCAGTAGTGGCCCCGAATGCTGGGACCTGTTGATATTTATTGTATACAAGGCAGGGGGCAGGGTAGAGAGAGTGAATCATCTGACGTGATTGATAGGGTCAAGCAAATCACATGCTTATAGCACAGGGGGCCCTCCCTTTCAGGTAGCCACTGCAAGGAGGGGAGGCACACACTTCAGCATCTTTCTATGCACTTGTCAGAAAGATCAAAGGCTTTTAGGATTCCGCTATTCTTCTCACAACTTCTAAGAACTTAAAAAGAGCTCCAGGTGAGAAATTGGAACATGAAAGCAGACAAGGATGGTGACTATCAGACCACATCACCACAGAGAGGCATTTAAGCCACTGGATGTCTGCAGGCCGGCCTGGCTAATGTCAGGCCTTCCTCGAGAGCCGGGCAGAGCAGAGTGTTCTCTGAACTCCCCCAGTGAAAGGGAAACTCCCCTTCATGGCCTGCTAAGTAACGGATACGTTCCCAGGTGCTGGCACAGCTGCAAGGTTCTCACTCTCACCTTCTGATCACTTCTCACAATGTCCCTTCTGTTCCTAATTGTATTTCACCTGGTTATTTCTGTAAGACTAAAATGATTCTATGCTATAATACTAAAGCAAAGATTAACAAAGAATAATGATTTAATAAGATTATATAGTTGATTATGTGATTGTTTCTAAATATATTTGGTATCATTGCTAAAACTAAGTAATCAGTTATTGATTATACTGGGACAGATTGTGCCTTCAGTCTCTTGCTTGGCACCTGGGCAACTTTCATCTCACACTTCACACTTCATGGTAAGCTCTTGATTGTTGCTCCCCAGAAGCATCCTCTGGCCCCCACCAGGCCTCAGTCCACTTCCCAGTCTCCCATCCTCCTCTGTCATTCAGCTGGGACATCCATCGGGATTAGAACACATATGCCCAAAAAATAATGCTGATGGGAGGAGTTTGAGGAAAGGCGGGAGTAGGGGGCGGGGTGTGGGAAACAGACTAGGGAAGTGGGACTTTGCAATGAGTGGAGTAAACCCTACAAGGTGTTGTCCATTCACTGAGCTGTTGCTGACATGACTCCGTGTGGGTCACACAGAAACACGGGACTCCTTTCAACCTCTATGCACCTTGGGTACCAGGTGCTGAGCTTCAGAGGGACTCTGAGGTGAATACTCCATGGTGGGTCACCTCCAGGACCCCAGGTTAGTAAATAAAGATTTCTAGAAACAGGAAAGCATAGAAGGGCCCCTTAAATGACCCAGATGCTGGACAGACATTCAAGATGGGACCTGGGTATGGAGGAGCAGTCAGCTCTTCCTGGTGGAGGGAAGTCAGGAGAGGCCTCCTGGAGGAGGCGACCCAGCCCCTGCCCTGTCCTGGTTCTTTTGTCCACGACGTTTTTGTTTTTGGTTTTGAGACAAGGTCTTGCTCTGTTGTCCAGGCTGGAGTGCAGTGGTGCGATCATGGCTCACTGCAGCCTCAATCTTATGGGCTCAAGTGATCCTCCCACCTCGTCTGCCCTACTAGCTAGGACTACAGGCATGCACCACCAAGCCCAGCTAATTTTTGTAGTTTTTGGAGAGACAGAGTTTCACCATGTTGGCCAGGCTGGTCTCCAACTCCTGGGCTCCAGTGATCCTCCTGCCTCGGCCTCCCAAAGTGCTGGGATTACAGGTGTGCACCATGGCCTCATCCACTGCATTAGTCACTTGAGCTGCTGTCACAGCGTGCCACAGACAGAGGGGCTGAAACAGTCCTTAACACGGACCTCCTCAGGCTTCTGGGCTACATGTCCAAAACCAAGGTGTGCTTCCTTCCGAGGCCTCTGCCTGGTTTCTAGATGCCACTCCTCCTGGTGTCCTCACATGGCCATCCCTCTCTGGGTGTCTGTTTCCTCAGCTCCTGCTCTTATAAGAACTTACAAGAACTCATGTCATATTGGACTAGGCCCACCCTAGTCCAAATGAATGACCTCATTTCAGTCGGCCCTCAGTATGCACGGGTCCCACATGCCGGGATTCAACCACCTGCCCATCGTGGCATTCAAACACAAAACCGACAAAAGCCAACATAACCACAAAAAACAGCATAATTAAAAATACAGCGTAACAGCTATTTACACAGCATTACACTGCATCAGGTATGATAAGTAACCTGGAGATGGAGGATGTGCAGAGGTCCTACGCAAACACTACTGGGTGAGGGAGCTGGGCATCATGGATTTGGTATCCAAGGGGCATGGGGCCTGGAATCAATCTCCCACACATACAGCAGAACGACTGTATCTCTTTAAATACTCTGTCTGCAAGTACTTAGGTACTGGAGGTTGGGACTTCAACACAGAAATTTGGTGAGGGGAAGGGGAATACAATTCAGACCCTAATATTCACCTTCCCTTTTTTTTTTTTTTTTTTTTTTTAGAGAGAGAGAGAGGGTGGTTCTGTTGCTCAGGCTGGAGTGCAGTGGCTCGATCTCACTGCAACCTCCATCTCCCAGGTTCAAGCAATTCCCCTGCCTCAGCCTCCCAAGTAGCTGGGATTACAGGCACCCGCCGTCATGACCAGCTAATTTTTTGTATTTTCAGTTGAGATGGGGTTTCACCGTGTTGTCCAGGCTGGTTTTGAACTCGTGACCTCAGGTGATCCATCTGCCTCAGCCTCCCAAAGTGCCGGGATTACAGGTGTGAGCCACCTTGCCTAGCATGCCCTTCCCTTTGATCCCTGCTTCCCTGTGACCTAACCTGAGCCTTCTCTGGGGACACCAGCCTCCTTCCCCCAGGGGAGCTCTTGTATTGGGGGCACATCATGCCTTCCTCTCCACAGAGCTCAGAAAAGGGCCTCTCCCAGGGAGGAGTGAGGGGAGCAAGGGTCTCTGGGTCCTGGTGGCGGGGGCGGGGTGGGGGTGGGGGGTGGGTTCCTTAACGAGCTGACCCCTAAGGCCCCAATCTGGGCCCAGTCCCACCTCTGCCTTTGAGCATTTCACACCCATGGGACCAGCTGACAGGAGCCAGGAGAGCAGCAGTCTCCCTCCTCCCACGGGTTTCTCCACATCTCTGCCCCCTCCCATTCCCCCCTCTTCACTTTGCTGAGTTCCTGTGGTTTCTGTAGTCTCCTTCTCCTGCGAGGCCACAGCCCCCACCGCCCCCTCCCCTTGCTCCCAGCCTCGGTCAGGCAGGACTGGAGAGGCTGCCTGGGGTCCCCGGATTCGTTTCTGGTCAGGCTGACGCTTGTCTTCTCTCCTGAGACGGTTCGGGTTTTCCCTGAGCTTCTTCCCTCCAAAGCCAGATCCCCAGCTCCGCCATCCGCCGACCCCCGCACCTCCGCCCCGCCTCTCCATTCAGCAGGGGGTGCACGCCTGCTCTTCATCCTTAATGTCACACGGAAGGGCTCAGAAAGCCCCACCCAGGCTCCAGACCCCGGAACTGCACGAGGGCACAGGTGCGCGCTGGGAGGAAAGGCGGGGACGGTGGGAGGTGCGGGAGGGAGAGGCGGGGGTTCCTGACAGGATCCCACCCTGGGGGGCGCAGTTGTGGCCTGAGGACCGCGTCCTGAGGAGGGCGGGGGAGCGCCAGGGTCCCGGCGAGGATGGAGAGCCCAGGAGTGGCTGCAGCTGAGACCCCGAGGGAGCCCAGGAGGCTTTGCCGGGGAAAAGGGGGATCTGCACCTTCCCTGACCAGCGCAGAAATCTTTGCCGGGAGAAGGGGTACCTGAACTTCCCTGACCAGCGTCTTTGCGTTCCTTGGGCTCCGGAGCTGGTCCCGGGTTTTTCCTCCCACCTCGGGCTGTGCCGCAGTTCAGGACGCCGTCCCCAGAGGGCGCTACAATCCCAGCGCAGGCGCCGCAGCGCCACAGACCCTGGAGCCCACGCTGTCCATGGTCCTGCAGGCGAGAGACTACCAGGGGAACAAATCCCAGACTCGGGACACGTTTGCAGACAGCACTCTTCAAAAAGGCTACTTTTTACTGCACCTCAGAACAAAATCGCCTCCAGGGGAATCAAATTAAAGCAAAACCGAAGTCACCATGGTCAACTCACTTCCCTGACCCCAAACTCACCCTCCCCAAAATATAAAACCCTTCAAAACATTCACACACACTTTACAGCTTTATTCTCAAATGACTTCCACCCAGGCACATTAAGCATGTGATATCCACTTAAGAAAATATGCTCCTCGGGCCGGGCGCGGTGGCTCACGCCTGTAATCCCAGCACTTTGGGAGGCTGAGGCGGGTGGATCACAAGGTCAAGAGATCGAGACCATCCTGGTCAACATGGTGAAACCCCGTCTCTACTAAAAATACAAAAAATCAGCTGGGCATGGTGGCGCGTGCCTGTAATCCCAGCTACTCGGGAGGCTGAGGCAGGAGAATTGCCTGAACCCAGGAGGCGGAGGTTGCGGCGAGCCGAGATCGCGC